CCCCACCGTTCCAGCATCCTTACCTGTTTGCTCGACCACGACAGCGTACAACTGTCCACCACCTCGCCACACCTTCTCGATGTTTTTTAGACCAACCTCCTTGGTCGATCCTTCGCTCGCTTTCAAGGTAACCAACCTATCATCGGTCTCGAACTTCATCACGCCCTTCCGATAGTTGGTCGTTACGTCACCAAGCCCTTCGAGCCATTGCACACCAAGCACCACATCAGGTCCTACCAATGGTAAGGCAAACAGGTCCGCCTTTACCGTTACTCCTTGGAATTTGATTGGCACGCCTCGGTACACCTTCGAGCACCGCAGTCTCTCTCCATTAGCCACCCGCACCTCGAATGGCTCGACCATGGACGTGGGTAGTTTAAGCTTGTGAGATAGCGTCGCATTAATGAAGTTGTGCGACGACCCATTGTCCACGAGCACAGTCACTCGCTGATCCTTCACCCACGCCGGCAAATGCATCGTTTTCGGCCCCTTGGTGCCCGCCATGGCGTGTACAGAGATCTCGGCCTCATCATCGAGGACCTCGACCTCCACCTCTCGTTCTTCCTCGATCACCGGCTCTTCGTCATCCGAGTCCACAAACTCGATTAAGTAATTTTGCTTGCATCGATGTCCCGGCGTGTACTTTTCCTCGCACCGAAAACACAGCCCCTTCTCACGTCTCCGTGCCATCTCCTCCTCCATCAACCTCTTCACCTCGGTTGCCGGTGGCCTAAAGGTGCCCGGCGGCCTCGCGTTCGCACTAGGTGTGCCCACGGTCGCCGGCACACGTCGCGGCTCCGGGACACGAAAATCCGCCCGTCCCCTTCGAGTCGCGGCCAAGTGATCCTCCCGTCTCCTAGCAACTTCCATGGCCTTATGCATGGTCTCCGGTCTCTCCAATCACACTTCAGCCGCGAGATCATATCTAAGCCCTCCAACAAACGCGCCAACAAGCGCGCTTTCCGGCCACCCGCGAACCCGGCACGCCAACCTCTCGAATTCTTTTTGGTAGTCACGTACACTCCCTGTCTGCCGGATCCGAGTAAGCGCCTCGTCGTGGTTATGATAGTCTGAGTTCCCAAAACGCGTAAGGAGCTCGCGTTCAAAATCTTCCCAACGGATTGGTTGTTGCCGCTAGCGATACACGCACGTGAGCCACTGCCACCACATGTTGGCCTCACCGTCTAAATAGTACGCGGCATAACGAACCCAGTCACGTTGCGGCATCTCATTTAAATCGAAGAATTGCACCGCCCTGTTCAGCCAAGCGTCGGGGTTGGTTCCCGTGAACGTTGAGAGCACGATCCTCGGATTCTCGACGCCTGGTCGCTCATGAACGTTCGACGCCTGCGACCGCTGCTCGTACTCTTCCTCCTCGTCGAGGTTGTGCTCAGCCCGCTACTGCTCATGTTGTCTTAGACGCTCGCGTGCGTTCACCCGTGGTGGCTCCTGCTGCTGTTGTCGCTGGAACCCGCGCAACACCTCCTCCAGACGCTGCTCGAGGCGAGCCACGACAGCGTTGGTGCTGACCTGACCTTCGTCGAGCGATCCAAACCGATCCTCCATGCTCTCGCTCATGGCCTTGAATTGGCCTTCCAATCCTTCAACCTTTTCTTTCAACTCACGATTGGCCATATATTTTCTGGCTTGCCTACGTTCTCGACTTCCCGGACTAATTTTGATTTTTTTTTTTTTTTGAACGAACGAAAATTAAGAAAGAAAAATTAAAAGAGAATGGGAAAGGAAAGACACACAATCGACTCTCTCAATGGAAGCACCAATGATGAAGACCGTGTGTCTTGATTTCCGACAAGCCGCTCCCGCGCCTTAAATCGTTCGATAGGTGTTAGGAAGTCGCACACTCGCAGCCTTTCTAACGAATAAAGTTGCAAAAGAATTCAAGAAGAAAACTAGAGCAAACAGTTTGAACAAAAGTTCAGATTTTTGTATTAATTTCTGAATGCCCAAATTAACAAGAGGAAGGGCCTTTATATAGGCATCAACTAGATCTAGTCCTAATATAACTATAACTCTAATAAAGCAATAAAAT